TAAATTGTGTAAGTACTGGTTACATATTGATAAAATAGTTACAAATTATCTGAAATTTGACAAAAGTATTTATCAAGTATTGTTAATTTTTTTATTAAAATCCACCCAATTCATTATTATCAATTAAGTCACTCACTCATATTTAATTTATCAAATTTAAATCAACTTTAATATGATATTTTCCAGGGAATCAATACTGGCTATGAATACTTAATCATTTTAATTTTTCTCCCATCGACTAGTTTACTGCTGGAGGGGGTAAAAATGAGAGATTTTACCAACCCACTCTCTAGCTCAGCTCATTTAGCTAGTCTGATATGACACAATGCTTCCTTTCAAAACTTCAGAAATCATCATCATCACCACAGGCAATCACTTGTGGCCAAGTATAATTGTCTTCCAAAGGTTGAGTCTTAGCGGTGGTCTATAAATGACTGTGAAAACCTAACCTGGATCTACATGGTCTTCCTTTCACCCAGTATTCATACGTCTTCAAAATCCATAGCACTGTTGATAACAACTGACCGCTAAATACAATGCTTGAATGTCAGGGCTCCCCAGTTCTCAGTGTTTATACCACATTTTTTCAAGGTTAGCTTTCAGCCCATCTTGAAATCTCTTTTGCTGCCTATTGACATTCCATTTATTTATTCTTGAACTGAGAAAAAAGTAACTGCTTTGGGAGATGGTGACTGGAAGTTGATGGCGGAGAATCATTGCATCAGTGCTGCTGGTCTTTGCTTCTTTCAGAATACCGATGCCCATCTCTCTTCCCAAGAGATTTGCAGGATTTTTTGAAGGCAAAGCTTATGGAATCTTTCCAGAAGTTGAAAGTTACTTCAATAATTGTGTTATATGGAATAAGTATGAAGATTTGCAAACAGAAGTGAATACCTATGCAAAATTAAAATATAAGAGAGGAAATTGTTCCAGGTTTCACATGAATGAGGGGTTGGGTGACCAACTCTCTTGTATTTTCAAGGAACTTCTGTATTACAGCTGTTTTCTTCCTCCCACCTCCTATTTCTGCTTATATTTCATTAACAATCAAGCATTAACTGGAGCAGGGTCCACCACACACACATACACACAATCAGGCACACTCTTGTGTTTTTGTTTTAAGCCTCCAGGCTGCATGACCTTGTGGGTTCTTATCTTCACTCCTCTCACATTTCCAGCACTGCCATTTTAGTCAGGCAAGGCCAGAGCTAAGTCTGCATGGGCCGTGCTTCCTCACTCCCCACTCTACCCCACTGTTGCTGATCAGTTTCTTTCCACAGTGCCAGGGAGAAGTGGCCAGAGTCGAGGGAGCAACAAACCGCATTGAGTCGCCTTTTGGGGCTGAAAAATGCGGTATAGAAATAAAGCAAATAATAAATAATAATAAATAACAAGCAGGGTGGGGTGGGGTGGGGTGGGCTGGGGTGGGGGAACAAAGAGGTTGATAGTTTGCCTCAGAGGGCTTGTAAGGAAACTTTGAAGAAGCAGTATTCATGCACAGGACAGTGGGTATCCCTTGGAAAAATGAAAATAAATGTCTCCCTGCATGGATTTCGGTGCCACCCAAACCCCAATCCACATTAAGAGCTCGGTTCTTTGTTACTAATGTGATCTTACTGCAGTTGTTTCCTACAGCCACCACTTATATAATCCAGCAAGTCCAGACCACAAAGATCCTAACCAAGCAGGAGGTCATGGTTAAGGCAGTCACCAGCTGGTAAAGTTGCCTGTAGCCTAGAAAGTGTAGCAAGGCAGCAATCCTAGGCAAGCTTATTTCCTCAGAGGTAAACCCCATCTGATCTAATGGGGGTTACTTCCAGTTCAAGCAGAACCCCTTGGAATTTTGAAATGTGCACAAGATAAACAAATGCTTAGTTCTGCAGCATCAGTGCACAAATACATATAGGCTAGGACTAAGAAACAGCAAATGTATAATGTTTTATTCTTTATTGTGACCTGTATATTATATACAATGGAAATAAATTTCTTTGTATAATATTATCCATTATGACCTGTGTAATATTATCCATTATGAACTGTGACCATGGACTATAGGAAAAGATGGGATTGGAAACAGCAACCCAAATGGCATCCTGCTTCTCACCAAATGTGTGGAACACAACCTTTTCATCACAAACATACTCTTCTGCCAAAACAAGAAGCTTAAGACATAATGGAAGCACCCCCCGTTCAAAGCTTTGGCACCTCTTAGACTATGTAATTATATGTGCCAGAGACTGCTGTGATGTGCTCCTTACAATAGCTATGACAGATGCTGATGACTGCTGGATGGACCATGGGTTAATTCAATCCACGATGGCATCAAGATCACCCTCAGGCTAAAACAGAGATAGATATAGCTGTAAAATGAACATGCAAACCCTTCAGGAGGCCTCCAAACAAGCCCTTCTCCAAAGAACACTCAAGGTTAATCTACGCATAGAACACTCTGAAAATGTTGAGGAACATTGGAATAAACAGAAGACCTCCATCATCAGAGCCTATGAAGAGACCACTGAATACCAAACTAAGAAACATCAAGCCTGGTTTGATGTGAATGATAACAAGATCTAACAGTTAATTGACAAGAAAAGGAAAGCCTTTCAAAAATTGCAGAGAGACACCAACTGTGTTGCTAAGAAAAAGATATGTGCCAGTTCAAAAGCTGAGGTCCAAAGAAGGACTGGAGAACTCAAGAACATCTGGTGGATAAAAAAGACCCAAGAAATCCAACGCTTTGCAGATGCCCATGATGCACAGGGATTATTTAACACCGGGACTATCTTCCATCTATGGCCCAAGAAATCATTTTTTAAAAATTATATCTTTATTCAGTTTTCTATTAATACATATAGTTAAAAAGATTCAATAGAGTTAAAAGTAAGACAATAAAGATAGGACAGGTCAAAGAGTGATGAAGCAAGAGGATAGAATAGGGATAAAATAGACTGGGGCAGGGGAAGAGGGTTTTGGGGTAGGGTAGAGAGTGTATGTGTGAAATAGAGAAAAGCCAGAAAAGAAAGTGCAGAAGTACTTTAAAAGATATGAAACAAAGAGCGAGGTTTCCCTCTTCCTTCGGTCTGTCTTCCCGGTGTCTTTGGCAGGGTTTTCCCTTGTCTTTCTTTTCTTTCTCCCAAGAAATCATGGCATACACCTTGTTGATGGGTAGCTAACCACCGGCATGGAAATAATCTATCAGACAGATGACAAGCTGTTTAACCTCAGCAGACTGGGACCAAAAACAAGGTTATAGAACTCCAGTATGCTGATGATAATGTAGTCTGTGCTCATTTAGAAGAAGACTTACAAGCCACTCTAAACACCTTTGCATAAGCATACGAAAAGCTTGGCTTCTCACTGAACATCGAGAAAACCAAAGTGCTCTTTCAGCAAACACCAGTCAATCCCTCTGGAACGCCAAAATTACAACTTAATGGTGTAACCTTAGAAAATAGTGACCATATCTGCTACTTTGGCAGCCACCTCTCCACAAAAGTTAACATTGACACTGAAATACAACTCCGTCTGAGCTTTGCAAGTGCAGCATTTTCTCAAATGAAGCAGAGAGTCTTTAAGGATTGGGGCATTCATAGGTATACCAAGATGCTTGTTAATAAAGTTATTGTCCTCTAAACCCTATTACATGTCTGTGAATTGTGGACATCACACTCAACGCCTGGAACAATTCCATCAGCGTTGCCTCTGAAAAATCCTGCAACTTTCTTGGGAAGATAGGTGGACAAATGTCAGCATGCTGGAAGAAGCAAAGACCACCAGTACTGAGGCAATGATCCTTTGCCATCAACTTCGCTGTACTGGCCATGTTGTCCGAATGCCTGATCACCGTCTCCCAAAGCAGTTACTATACTCTCAACTCAAGAATGGAAAATGGAATGTTGGTGGACAGGAAAAGAGATTTAAGGATGGCTCTAAAGCCAACCTTAAAAACGATGGCATAGACACCGAGAACTGGGAAGACCTGGCCCTTGAGTATTCTATCTGGAGATCAACTGTTACCAACAGTGCAAATGGAGGGCGAAATGGAAAGCCAATGTCCTCACTGTGAAAGAACATGCAAATCAAGAATAGGTCTCTACAGTCACCTATGGGTCGACCGCTAAGACCCAACACTTGGAAGCCGTCATACTTGGACACGAATGATCACCAATGATGATGATGATGATTCCATGAACGCTTGCTAAAAATTTGTTGCGTCTAGATCTCCCTTAAATTTATGTCCCAACTGTTGGCCACTTGAGTGAGGAAGCGTATACAGTAGAATTTTTCACTGTTCCTCAACATTACACCATTTTGCCTTCCAAAAAACCTTATCTGATTATCAGGGCTATAATCAAAGAGGGAGGAGATACAGAAATCATTATTTGAGTGGTCTGCTTATGCAAAGTTTGGAAACAGCTAGTGTTGTAGTAGAGCCTGTAAGTAACGTTGCAAGTGGTAGTATGGGTGTCAGAAGAGGGAAAGGAATGCTCGTGAGCAGGAGTTAGATGAGGAACAACAAAGGAAAAGGATCCAGGATATACTTATGGCACCTACTGATGAAGACTCATTCGAAGGGTTCTCTGATAACGAAGGGTCAATGAGTGAGGGAGAGAAAGGAGATACAGTGGATGTGAATAGGTGAACTAAAAGGGTTACTCGGAAGCAAGAATCGGATGAGGAACGACAAAGGAAGAAGATCCAGGATATACTTACTGCTCCCACAGATTAAGAGTCATTTGCAGGGTTCTCTGGGAGTGATGGGTTAGAGAGTGATGAAAGTGAGGATGGCACATTGGACTGGACTAAGATACAAGAGGTACAAGATGTATGTGCAGAGCCAACATCTAGTGACACGTTTGTGGGGTTTTCTGGTGATGGGGATTGGCAGTCGGGAAATACTTCTGAGTCTTGGGGGGATCTAAGTCTTGACAGAAGATGGAGGAGTTGGAGGGATGGGCGTCAGAGTTCACTTGTGGAGTCTAGGACAGCTGTAAGAGATGATGACGGGGCGGAGGCCAGCTCATCTTCGGATGATGAGGTGTAAGGTAAAAGTAGGCTCTGAAATGGAAGATCTTTGCAGAAGGCAAAGTGTTGGTTTCATGCATTGGGTTTTGTCGCTGCCTATTTCGTGTTGGTATTGGGTCCTGGATCTACAGGTTGCTGCTTCCATTCGTGTGTTTTTTGACTTGGCTTGATTCTCGTGAGTGCGGATTTCCCCTTCTTTGACTTTGGATCGGTTTTGACTACGACGCTGCCTACGTGGATTTAGGAACTTCGCAACTTTGGACTTGGCTTGCTACGACTTCAGACTTCATTTGACTACGTCTTTTTCCTTGCGGCTCTTTGTTTGTTAACCCTTTACTTGCTGTGCTATTTTGTGTGACTTTTGGAGTGCTTCGGTTTAATCCGGATCTTTTATCCGGATAATCTGGATTATTGCTTCAGTTTACCTTTTGAACTAGAACTGGTTGCTACTTTTGAGTTTTGACCAGACACACTGAGTTAAGTGTCTCTGAGTCCCTTTTGTTTTTGTTTAAATAAACTCTACTTTTGGAAATACTCTTGAGTCTGGCTCTTTAAGGCATCTGGGTTCCGACAGCTAGTTGTTTATATATGTTAGGTGCAATTAAGTTTCATTAAAACACTGCATTTTGCTTTTAACCTCAGTATGGATTTTTTTCTCTTTCTGTAACGTATATTTTAATCTGGACTTTTCCAGATTGATTCGGGAATGTATTTCCTCCTTGAATTGTGGTGGTTTTTATCACCTCTATGGTCACTCATTTCATTTTTGAGAAGGATAGTGGAAACAATTTATTGGTTCTAAGTTAGGCCTTTTCCAAAGTGGCTTGAAAAAGCAAACATGAGGTTTGAAAAAAATAGTCTTCACCCTGAATTTAAAAAAAACTTTAAAAGGGTTGTAGTGCAAAAGTGCAATTTTTCTGATGGACAATATAAAACTTTAAAAAGAAAATGGAAAAAAATGCAACATAATCTTTATGTTATTGCTATTACTGACTAATCACATATGTTATTGCTATTACTGACTAATTAAATAAGCAAAAGGGGGCCCTCACATCATATTCTCAAGCTCATTGAAGGCTTTCACAATGGCTCCTCCCAGGCTTTGTTACTTTGTATACTTTTATTAATGATTAATGATCTTATATAGTTTGAATTTGTATTGTTTTAAATATGTTGTTACCGCCAGATATTTTAAAAAGTCATAGTTAACACTGTTTTTCTTGAACACGGGAATAATATCCATCCATTGGTTATCAGAAAATAGTCTTTAGTGACAAAATTTTGGTATGGATAATAAAAAGAAAACAACATGCACATACCACAAGTACCTCAACCTTCCAACACATTTTTCTTCTTTGAAGAAATTCTGTGTATGTTCTAATTAGTACTGTAAATATGGTTGAATTAGTTCATAGTCAGTCCACTAGCTCAGCAGAGAATGGGGTGATATTTTAATAGTACATACACATAGAAAATCCATCACATCTGGATAAAAATCATTTAGTTAGTTCCCAGACTATATGAAATCTTTTTGGACTCTCCACTGGATTTCACTGTGTGGTAATACTATACTCAAATGTTAATGGTCAGTGGAATTGGTATGTTCTATGGATAATAGGTAGGAATATGTACCCAGAAATTTCAGTGAAATTATTGTTTGAGCTAGACTGTTTTTTTCACATATGTTCTCATTACTTTCAGCTGGTTTCTGCCACTGATGAGAACATCATAGACAAACGTATTCTATCAATGAAAAAGAAAGAATTACATTTAGAACAAGATGAAGTAAGTGAACTGCATTCCTTCAGTATGCAATACTCATTGTGCACAGATGATGTTTTATATTGTTTGGCAAATGGGCTTAATAACAAAAGACCCTCACCATAAAAGTATAGAGCAGAGCAGCCTATCTAGCAGCAGCAGCGTGACCCAGAACCAGTAGCCAGTATAAGACGAAATAAACACACACACAGACTATTGTTATTTTCCTTTGGAGACTTTTCTCGTAGAAAAATAATATGGTTACAAAACAAACAAAGTTTCCATAACATAAACAAAATTCTTTATACTTCCTTGTTATATCTTTGCTTCAGTTTCTTGCCTTCACGCTGGGCTTCTCTTTCATGTAGATAAGGAACATACAACAATCTTCAAGCCGAAACAGCTCTCTCCTTGGAGTCATGAAACACAGCAGTCCTTATGCCGAGCCATTCTTTACACAGCAGGAAGTCTTTACATAGGAGGAGCAAGTAACTCACAGGCACACCTGTTTATATTACCCTACTGGTTTTGCTTAGTCACTGCATCATTTTAACATTTAATGATGCCTGTACATCATTTTTGTTATTAAAAATACACTGTTAACTTTCAACATTTATGACATATATTTTATCATAGCATTTCATTGCAGAGACGTTTTCCCTTCTCCTCCTCTTATGTCTGGTGACATTGTTGTTCCTTCATCAGGCCCCACAACAAAATATTCTCTGCAGAGTTTTAAAACATATACTTGGACATCTCAGCGGCTTTCGATACCATCGATCATGGTATCCTTCTGGGTCGGCTCTCTGGGATGGGCCTTGGGGGCACGGTTCTGTCGTGGCTCCGGTCCTTCCTGGAGGGACGAACCCAGATGGTGAAGCTGGGAGATGCCTGCTCGGACCCCTGGCCTTTGACCTGTAGGGTCAACTTTATCTCCCATGCTTTTTAACATCTACATGAAACCGCTGGGAGAGGTCATCCGGAGTTTTGGAGTTGGGTGCCATCTCTACGCGGATGACGCACAACTCTACTACTCTTTTCCACCTAATTCCAAGGAGGCCTCTCGGGTGCTAGACAAGTGCCTGGCCGCTGTGTCCATCTGGATGAGGATGAACAAGTTGAAGATCAATCCCGACAAGACAGAGGTCCTCCTGGTTGATCGCAAACCAGACCGGGGTATAGGGTGGCAACCTCTGTTGGACGGGGTTACACTCCCCCTGAAGCCACAGGTCCGCAGCTTGGGAGTCCTCCTGGACTCATCGCTCACGCTTGAGGCTCAGGCGTCGGCGGTGGCCGGAAGGGCTTTTGCACAACTGAGACTTGTGCGCCAGCTGCGCCCGTACCTCGCGAAGGCTGATCTGGCCGGGGTGGTCCATGCCTTAGTCACCTCTAGACTGGATTACTGCAATGCGCTCTACGTGGGGCTGCCCTTGAAAACGGCTCGGAAATTCCAATTGGTCCACTGGCTGCCGTTTATTTTCCGAGCCCAATTTAAGGTGCAGGTGCTTACCTACAAAGCCCTGAACAGTTTGGGACCACCCTACCTGCAAGACCGCATCACAGTCTACGAACCCACACGCTCACTCCGGTCATCAGGAGAGACCCTGCTCGTGATCCCGCCCGCGTCGTAGGCGCGTTTGGTGGGGACACGGGTCAGGGCCTTCTCTGTGGTGGCTCCCCGCCTCTGGAATGCCCTCCCGAAAGATCTCAGACAGGCCCCTACCTTGGCGGTTTTCAGAAAGAACCTGAAAACCTGGCTGTTCCAACATGCCTTCTCAGATTAGGAACCCCACTACCAAAGCCCAGAAGCACTTTAGTAGAGTTAAGATCACCCTCACCGCACACTGCACTTATATTTTAATCCCATATCCCTCCGACACTTCAGCACTTTTAATCCTGTACCCTACTCCTGGCCGGCTCAGTTTTTAATAATGTCCTGTTGTACTGCTACTGTTATTGTTTTCTGCTTTAACTGTTTTATTTGCTATGTATTGTATTGTTGTATTGTGTTGTGTATTGCGTTGGGCTCCGGCCTGTTGTGAGCTGCATCGAATCCCTTGGGAGATGCTAGCGGGGTACAAATAAAGTTATAATAATAATAATAATATAATAATAACTTCAGTATTAAATGGATGGCCTTGAACAGATTTTCAGAGCTTGCACAGTATCAGAGGAACTAAGACTCAAGAATACTCCTATGAAAAGAATTTAACTCGTATATCTTCATCACTTTCTATGTTTGCAGACAACTTTCTAAAACAACTCAGGAGTCCAACAAATAGCAATGTTTACTTTAGCAATTGAGAGAGAATGGGTCACTCTGAGTTGTCATCTGTCCAAGATAGTGAAAATGTCACTCACTGCTGTGAGAAATCAGTTGTTGGCTAAAACATGGAAATGAATTAGCAGGCTCATTTGTGACAAAACAATTTGGCAGACTAATTATTCCACTTTTGCCTCATATTTCTGTTTCTCAAAGGTTAGTTCTTATATATTTTAAATGAAACCTTGGCCTCCAAATTTTATAGACACTAGCGTCATGCCTGAGAATGTGGTGTTTAAATGATGCATACTGTGAACATATGTAATAGTGCACATTAAAGGCTTTAAACCAGAATGGGAGATAGTCTGAAATGGAGCCCTAATGTGCATCAGCACACCTAAGTGTACACCACATTGCATGGAAAACCAGTTAAGGGACAGGTGTTCCATCAGTCTGCACATGCAGTGGGGAAGGTGAAAACAATCTTGATTGATTAATTGATTTCACATATTTGTATCCCACCCTTCTCACTCTAAAAGGGGACTCAGGGTGGCCTTACAGCAGGCAGCAATTTGATGCCAATACATATAAATATAAAAATAAGCAAATACAATTAAAACCTTACAATTAAACATTAATTATTAAAACCTCAATTAAAATCAATTTCTCCACAACCTTGAAGCCATAGATATTACTGGAGTCGAAGCCACTTTTATGTGCTCCAAGTGAAATTGCTTCCTCCTCTACTGGTTTCACATTAACCTAAGTGGTCAGTGTAGCTGTGTTCCAAGACCTTTTTCAGACTTTTCAGAAAAGGTTTTCCCATCCCTTTTCTAAAATGATGGAATTTACTCTATTAATCTGTCAGTCCGAACCCAATCATCCCATCAAATCAGATCCAAGAAAATCAGGATGAGGTGAGGTCACTTACATAAAAGAGGATTTATTGGCGAAGAGTGGGTGCAGAAACTGCTTTATAGCAAAGGAAGCTTATCACCCATTGATATTCCCTTCTACCCTTTATCATATTATTGGTTTCATAAGAAGAAAGGCCTGCCCGTGAATCCAATTGTGTATCATTGTTCTTAATTATTTTCTGTTTATTTGTATTCCAGGTGCAAATATGTGTTTTTCTTTGAAAAATAGTACTATAAAATGTCTCTCTGGAATAAAACTTAAGAAGCCATTCTATTTAGCTATGGTACACTGTTTTCACTTTCATTACAGTTTTATTGCTACTGCAGAGGAAAATGTTAACTAAGTTCTTACTTTTATGGAAAAAGTGTAGTTCACAATGCCAAGACATAGTGTGCTAATCATAAGATTCTGTAGGAAATATTTTAATGAATAACTATTAAATCAGGCTTTTTTTCCATGCAAAGCTCCATGCTGTGAACCTGACAGCATGTTCTATAAAAGAAATAATACAAAATTGCAGTGAAGCAAAAATTGAGCATTATCTTCATGTAGATTTATGGAGAAACCTTATTCTTTAGGGGAAAAGATAAGGAATTTTTACTAATTGTATTGCAATATTATTAGTAAAAATACTTTCTTGCAATGTTTTTTAAAGTCCAACAGTGAATTTTATTCTTGGGTATCAGTGGAAATCCAGTAATTACCATATGCCAGAGATAAGAAAGCATGTTTATTTTGTACAACATCACCCATTTCTAGACCTCAACTATGTGTTTCAAAGTCAAACCTTTATGTCTACATTTCTGTGCACAACAAGGAGTTTTTAGCTACTTCCTTCTGGAAGCTCCCCCAGCTCCAGTCTAGGGGTCATAAGATAGAGAGCGGATTGCTCCTGGAAGGAAAAATCTGCCTTTACACTCACAGTGTAAAAGCACTTTGTATAAACACACAGGCTTCTCAGAATCCTAGTTTAAAATACTATGTTACTCAGGAGATAATCCTCTACACCTCCTTTGCTTCTTCTTAGCTGTACATTTTACACATCTCCCTGATGTACATACATATCTGTTTATTCCAAGCTCCAAGTTTTTTTCATGAAAAGGAATTAAAATATTCCTGCTATATTATAGTAACATTTTTAATCTTCTAAATTTCATCCATGTGTTGTTACATATGAATAGCATATTGCACAAATAGTGCTTGCTTAATATTGGAAATAATATGAGAGCATTATGAATTGTGGAAGTGTGTCAAAAACTGCAGGTTAAGATGATCCTTGATCAGAAAGACTTCTAAACATGTACTGCTGTAGATAAGGAAGGGTCATTTTCATTCCCTGATATTTTAAGCTCCTCCTCTACCAATTTCTTTTAATAGAAGGAGATGTAATTACATCAGATCCAAATTGGTGTAGACGGAATTTAGCAAGGGAATGGGTGAGTTTTGGATCCCACAGTACTGAGGCTGCTGTTATGAAGTTTGGCTCCATACCCACATCTTCATACAAAATGTACCAATTTGACACAAAGACAGAGCTACTTAGAACAGGAAAGAACTATATTGGTTTGCATTTTAACACAACTCACAGTAATTTATTGTCCACAAACTTAACACATAAACTGGAAAATGCAATCTATCTTCAGTTTTTGCACTTCTCCAATTTTTTCAATACATCACACTAAACTTTTACGTGCTGATAAAATGAGTACATTGGTGGAAATAGTGTAACATTACATACATAGGCAAAGACATATATTAGGGGGAAATGTTGAAACAATTTCATCCAAAATTTGTTTGCATTTCTATGCCAACTTAAATGTATTCACAAGTTGACATGATAATG